AACATGTAATTACTCCAGCATCATATAAGCATTCACCCTAGATCGGCGGTGTATCCGATCATGCTCTCACAACTCACACTTACCGAGGCGTAGAGGCAAATGATCCATACATTACCACTCAAACAAGTGGCACTCATACAATAGCACGCTGTATGAACGACGAAAGAGAAATATGATGCAAGAACCGCAAGTCAGTACTTAATTAAGCCACCTAAAGTCCTTAACTAGGCATAAAGGATATGACCACTGGCACACTTTATAGTTTGAAAATCACGTTTTTCAATGCCTTTTTGTTTTAAATACACTTGTGAACAGTAACACGCTAAACCATGCTCTGATACCAGCTGTAACAGAACCGACCAATTATACGAAATTAAGTAAGAAAATCATCCGCCAGAGCAGACGATTTAGCAAACTTAAGCCCGTATAATCCGGTAGTCCGTGAAATCACGAAGGATTTCAAACCAACTTCCATTCCAACCAAGATCATAATAAGTTTAGCGGTCACCATCACATATTACATAAAAAGTTGCATCTCAGATACATCAGAGTTTAAACATAGTTATTACAAAACAAGTTCGAATAAAAGTAGCGGAAGCCATTTGTTCAAACCACACACACACACGCACACAGAGTTCAAATACAGTGCCAGCGAATGATCATCTCCAACAAAAGCATCAGACGAGACGTAAGGAATGACCATGCCCATGGTCCTAAGCATCACCCATCGCAGGATAAAGGCAGTTGATACAGTAGCCGTAATACATCTGCCCATCTGCAACAAGTGAGAATAAAACCTTGAGTACAAGAAGGTACTCAGCTAGACTTACCCGACATAACCAAAAATAAGTGACACCAAGGATTATGAAGGGCTTTATAGTAGGGTAGCTGACTCATTTGCAAAAAGAAGCATTTTTAGCATTTCAAGACCCTTTTCAAAAGCATTATTGTCAAGTTAATTGTTATTAACCTGTCGACTAGATTTGCACCTATACTAGAGCAAACATGTGATTAAGCCAATAATGATAACCAATTATCATTAACAACTTCCATACTGTCATATTCATTATAACTGTCCAAGTGTTCCATAAACATTTACTACGATGAAGTAACTCAAGTCAAGTGCTCACTATCCAGGAGCGATGGCGATTCGAATCGATTCCTAACCAGCTGGTGATTTATTCCTTACACAAACCTCACTCACCCGCTAAAGTGAGGTATTGATCACCGAGTCAACTATCTAGATATCTCGAGTTTGCCAGGAACCACATGTACCCGGGGGCCGATCGACTGCACTTTGGTCTTATCATCTCGCCCCCGTGTCCTACCACACCTGCTCTGGCACAGTGCGCTACGGGCAATCTACTCGGCCCGAATAATCTCCCAGCTTCGCGGTCGGAAGGTACTTTATCCGGCCAGCTAAATGTAAGGCATGCGTTCAACATGACTCGAGGCCCAACAACGGTCGGTCCTTAATCGACACAGATGGAAAGCACTACAGTCCAAAACTCTGCAAGTCTCCGTCCGGTCTCAACTTCATTTAACACTTAGTTATACCATGACTTCATAGTCATCCAAGCAGATCCAGGTAACCACCTATAGCTCGCAGGTGATAAGAAATCACCCGACTTCTACCGGTCTAAACCAGCTAAGCATTGACTCGACTGCGGATACCATGGTAACAAGGATATAGTATAACAAAGGTAAACAAGGTATAATGCAGCAACAGTTGCAAACAACTCCTGAACGTAATGCATCAATTAAAGTAAAGCATTTAATTAATAATTGCAAACCGGGAGAAAATGCTCTAGGGCTTGCCTCTCTCGAAGGAGCTCGGGCGGTGATCGGGGCACTCTGGAAGTTCCTCAACGTCCTTCTCATCGGCTTCGGGCACTTCCTGCGGCTGCACCTCGACCTGCTCCTCGGGCTCCTTAGGTATGATGACTGGGTTCTCAGTTTGCGATCCTGTATGATGCAATGTGTGTAAGTGCTTATGCAATCGGTGCATCGAATGAGATGAATACAATGGATATGTTTAAATGCAAGGTAGTCAACATCATCCAAGAACATATACTACGAGCACATGTCATCTACTGCATTCTCTTCTACTACTAATATGTTAAGTCAACACATCTTATTGAATGCTTCAAAGATACACCAAAGCTTCACTAATTTCTTAATCACACTTAAAGCAACACTTGCTTAAACCCTAATTAATAATAGGTTTGAATAGCAACATCTATTTTTATTGCTTAGAAAATTACCATAGCACAGTACTACCCTAAGTAGTCTACTATCAGATTTTCATAGTATTTGAATGAGTGGATTAGCCTACACAAAAATAACAAGCTATGGCATGATTATGAACATGAAAATACTTTGTACTGTGAAAAGTGTCAAACAACAGAGTTAGCATTTTTCCTATGATCTTCATAGCATACAATCAAAGTACAAAAATTATCACATGCATGTTTTATAAAAAGTTTGCTCTCTAGCTAAAATAACAAAAATCAGCCATTAAAGGCACTTGAACTACACCTCATAATTTTTCTACAGTACATGCATGACACATATTTTTCCTAGAAAGTACATTACATAAGAAGATTAACAAACTTGGAATCATATTTTTCTGAAGCCTATAGGTTTTTCTACATATTTTTTAAGTTATCAGCAATATCCATGATTAAATAAAGTTCTACAGAAAAGTATCCCAAAAATGACATGCAATAATTTTTCCCAAGTAGATCTGGTGATAAGGAACCTAGAAAAATTTATTTCCATAGATTTGGAGCAAATTTGAGTATCCAAACATTTTCCAAACCATTTCTATTTTCAAATAATAAAGAAAAATTGAAAACGAATCCTCCTATTGCTACTGGGCCGGCCCGCGGGAATCAACCGGCCCACTGCCACACTTGGCCTGCGCGGCCCGAGCGAAGGGAAGGGGAGGCGGCCTGGCAGGGGCTCCGGCCCATGGCCTCTTTGGCCCAGCTCGGTCGAGGCGAAGCCATGTCGGCGCCGTGACGTCGCGGCGGAGCGGCTCGGCCAACGGGGCCGGCGGCCATTGCCGGCCGTGCCAGGGCAAGCGAGCGAGTGCATGCGGTTCGTGAGAAGCTGACGAGTGCAGGCAGGTAGCTAGGCAGGGTGGAGAAGAGAAGGAAGGGTGCCATCCACGGCGGCCGAGCACGGCGGCGCCATGACCGACGGTGGCGAGGTGCTAGAAGGCGCTACCTAGGCTCAACAGTCGGCACAAGCGCGAGCACCACGTGCCGGAGAGCGAGGCGGAGCTGCTGGCGCACGATTGCTGGCCGAGGTGGAGGAGAGGCGACGAATTTGACCGGCGGGTGCGGTGGCGCGACGAGGGGGAGAGTGAGCGAGCTCGTCTCGGGCGGAGAAGAAAGGCAGCGCGGGAGAGTGAAGACGAGCGCAGCGGCTTCAGCAGAAGTAGGCGGGCGCGTGGGAGCGGGCGTAGGCCTGCTGCGACGCGCGGCGGCGTCGACGGCGCATGGCCGCCACGCGGCGGGCTTGCTCTGCCATGGTCGGGACGCGTTGCGGCGCGTCAACGGGCAGGCGAGCGCGGAGGAAGCCTTTTTCAATTTATATTTTCAAGAAATTTTTAAATGCCAGCTTTCAAATATCATTTTGAGCAAGAAAATGACATCTTTTAAAAATGTACCAAAAATAAAAATTGATTATAATGTAATTCTCTACAACTTTGCTTTTATGACCAAAGTCCAATTCTTGATAGATTTTGAATTATAAAATTACAGTCAACTTTAACTCAAAACCCTAATTTTAGAGAATTATTTTTAAGGCAAAATTTGGCAATAATTTGAATACAACCTTTGCTCCAAAATTGGACTAAATCATTCTAGATGATTTACAATGATAGCCAAACATGTTTTACTAGCCTAGCAAACATAATCAGGGCAAAATAACTCTAACAAGTGTATGCAACATTCAGGTTTCACAAACATGTTTCGTATGTTTCGAAGCAGTGTTTCAGTTATTATTTTCATGATGGGGCATGTATGATTAGGATGCTTGATGATGCACGATATGCATGATTTGTAGTGCCTAAATGCTGGCATAACACCGGGGTGTTACAGTACCCAAGGAGCCTCACAGGTAGTAACAAATGTAGTGTCTTTAAATACGTAGGCTTCTTGAATTAACGATCATAAAGATTATAAGTAATCATGTATATCATATACTTGTAGGGTACAAGCCGTACCCACCGGCAACGCGATCACACCGACGTTGGCTACACTCCCAATGTGTTGCCTAAAAATTCGAAGAGATAGAGACATCCGAGGGATCCTTACACTCTTATGACTTAGTTGGTTATGTCGAACGAATATTGTCGTCGAAAACTTGCAGACTCATAAACCAATAAAAATGTTATGTGGAAACTTGTCAACTTGCGCACTGACTTTATTTATTTGCTTCATATTCGTTTCAATGCGTCGCGACAGTACTTGTAGTTGTTTACAGCACCGGCAGCAGCTCCCGTTCAATTGCAATTGAGGCTGGTCGGTTTCTGTCTGCGTCCAGGTGCTGTCGCGCCACCATGCATGGCGCGGCACAGGCCCTGCCACGTCACCGGTTAGTGCCCTGGTCGATGCCACGTCATCCTCTCGCCGCAAAAGTGTTAGTTTTAGAAGAAGAAAAAATAAAACAGTTTTAGATTTAAAATTAATTTAAAAAGGGTTAAAAAAATCCCTACCTCGGGCATTGGCGTCCGGCCCACATAGTTCCATGGCCCAGTGAAGATCCTGGCCTTCCCGTCACGCGACTCGCCTCGTGTCCCGCGATCGGACGGCTGGGACGCGCCGGCGCTAGTCGAACTCGTGTCGAAGTTTCCTTCCGACGTTGGTCGCTGCCTCGACTAGACCAGCGTTGCAATTCCAGCCAGCCCTGTCGTTCTCGCCTCTCCCTACCATTGCCGGAAGAGACGAGGGTGGCCGCCGCCTTCTCCCGCTCCCGCTCTTCCTCTCTCCATGGGCCAGGTCGAGAGCCAGGCCACTACTCCGGCGGAGGAGCCTTCTCCACCCGCAGTGGAGCCGTCGCCGCCGTCTGCTGCCCCGCCTCCATCCTCCCTTGAGGCGCTTGCTGCAGGTATGTGTACATGTGAAGCCCCGAAGTGTGATTTCCTCCACTTTACTACTCCGTACGAACTAGTTGAGTTGCAGTTGCGCTGGGTCTTCCCGTTGCTTGGATTTGGATGGAGCATTGGTTGAAGGGTGAACCTCTTGAACTGGTTACATTCGGATTTGAAGATTTTGTCTGTAGCTAGTAACCATAAATAAGACTCAGATGCGAAAGTAGGCCGATGAGATCGCTCCTCTGACATTGATGACGTCGAACTTGTACTGACCTCGATATGTTAGGCTCTTACCGATACGGTAGTCTGTTGCTGAAATTGCAATAGTATTTACTGATAATTTCGCCTCAGTGATGTTCTATGTCAAATAAGCAGGGGCATGGTCCGTACTTATGAAGAGAAAGCGAAGCTTAAGTTAGTCTGGTAGTAGATCAATGTCTGTCCAGAATGACTAGCATGACCAATCGAGCACATAGGTCTTTAAAAAGCTACTGCTTATACTTTGCCCATCACCATTCACCAAGGCTCAAGAGGTTTGACTCACATATGAAGCCAATCGATGCTGCTTTCTAAGTAAACTTAGCAACCGTACCTAACCTAGTTCAGGGGCTAATCTATTGGCTCAAGGGTCCTAGGGTCATAGTTCAGGGGCAAAACAGTAGGTCAGCGCAAAATTTTGCTGCGAACTCAAGTTCTCCATGCAGCTTGTAACATAAGTTTCTTTATTTGGGCGCTTTCTTACTCATGTGTTTAGACTGTTCTAATTTTGCATTTTATAAAATGTGCAGAGGCCATGTCATTTGATGAGAATGACACTGAGGAGGTAAAACCCTTTCCTTTGCTTGTAGATAGATGCTTATACTTCAGTCACCTATTTGCTTTACTACATCTTGGTACTCCGAGTGCCACTGGTCAGTCAAATAACATTTTGCTTGTACAGTCAATCGATGTGAAGGTACAGAAAGCTCTGGACTGTCCATGTGTTGCTGATTTGAAAAATGGTCCTTGTGGAGGTCAATTCGTCGATGCATTTTCTTGCTTTCTCAGGAGCACAGAAGAAGAGAAGGTTGCATTTCTTTCTTCTTCTTTTTTTTTTTACTTTTCTGCAAGAAATTAACTTGATTTCAACTTATATGTGCTTAATGCAAGTTATGTTACATGTTTATGCATATTAATAATTGTGGCATGATGTTATTTACCAAACTTAACTCAGGATCGTAGCATGTGTGACCCTGTATGGCACGGCTCCAGTTCTGAGAAATTCATATTTGGATGTGGAGCTGTGGCCTGTGGGTTACACCTTAGTTGTTTGGTTGAGCTGGTTTCTTTGCATTCTAGGTAAAAAAGAGTCTCGACTTTCTTGATTTTAGTGTAGGAAATCCAGATCCGAGGTGGAGCCTGGAGCTTTTCCATTATGAAATTTGTTGGCCATAAACTGGAAAGGTGTTGCTAGATGACCTGATCGAGCTTAAGAAATTCGAGGTGTTGCTAGATGGCCATAAACTGAAAAGGTGTTGCTAGATCACCTCATCGAGCTTAAGAAAATTCTTTGTCCTACGTGGACTTCCTTATTATTCAATAGATATAAAACTAATGGTATCATTGCCAATTTAACTTAGACAAGACAATAATGCTAATGTAAGCCATTGTAACGTAATTCTATTGGTCAAAAGCACTTGTTGTCTTGTGGATATCTATGTGCTTTTACATCAAATAATTTCATGTGTATGTTTGTTCTTCATATCTGGAAAACTTTTAAAATATTGAAGTGCTAACTTGACTGAGCTTAGGTTTTATTTTTCCTTCAAAATTTCTGGCTGTTTGCATGTTGCCACCTTGTCTCACAAAACTTTGGATCCTTCATAAAATTCAGTATCATGCACAACTTATTGTTGGACCATATACCACCATTAACTTTTTTATCCATGTCTTTTTCTTGTATAGATGAATTAACTAGCACCAAAATTTGCTGTCTGTGCCTTTCCAGGGATCAGATTGCGTGAAACCCTTCATCGCATTGCAGGACTGCATCAAAGCAAATCCAGAGGCATTCTCTAAGGAGATTCTAGAGGAAGAGGAGAATGATGAGGAGGCAGAAAAGTCCAACCTGAAAGTCAGAGCTCCATCATGGTCCAGAGAATCCAAGCCTAAGGTTTGAGATTGCTTGGTATTAATTGATACTGAGTGATATTCATCCAGTCTGCAGACGCACCTTATTCAACTAAAAGTTCGCCAGTAGTAGATTGATTCCAGAGAGCAAGGAGGCATCATAAATTGATTGGCAGAAATACCCATACTTTGTGTGGTAGAAATGCCTCACGGTATTCACTTTTTGAGAATGCACACGTCATTTCAAGTATCAATCGAGAACCAACGAACTTGTAATTCGATTCCTAGATACAGCCATACGGGGCAAGTTTGATCACCACTGTATTATTATAATTAGAGTGTTTGGATTCCTAGATTATTGTGGTGGATTATTCTTGGTTTAAGTGGTAAACACTCAATTACGGAAAAGTAGGTCCAAGGTGGATAATAGGATTATTGTAATCTATTGTATTAATTATAATATAATAATCAATCTCATAATCTAGCCTCTTTAGATCATGAATAGATTATTTTAGCTTATTATTATAATCACAGTGGATCCAAACGGGTTTGTAATATATGCACTAGTAGATTTCTAAACGAAACAATTTCCATGATGGTAGGTCATGTGTTAAGCTTGTATTAGGGGGTGTTTCGACCTAACTGGATTATAGTAATAATCAGATAAAATGATCTGAAAGTGATCTAAACAACTCAAATTATGGAGTGGGTTAATCCAACCATCAAATTATTGTAATAATCATGTAATTCATCTCAAAATTGCTTTTTGGAGATTATAAGTAATTTATACTCCAACTAAGGCCTCGTTTGGTAGGGCTTCGGCTCTAGCTCTAGCCTCTTTGTGGCTCCTCATAATAAACCCTGCTAAACGGGCATTAAAAATGGCTTCTTGCAAGGAGCCAGAGGAGCCCAAGCGGGGAAAAATGGTTTCTCCTGGCTCCTCACAAACCTAATCACCTACAACTAAGAAGAACAAAGTGTAGACATTTTTAGTGTGACATTTGTTTGGTTCGTCCGTCTGCTCATGCCTACGATCTCCGCTTGCTTTGAAGGAAACAAATCGATCACCTGAGGCCACATGTATGGAAGGAAACAATAATCATGCACCACGCGATAGAAAAAGAAACTGTCATCCATGCGATCCCCGTCTGCTTTAAAGAAAACAAATCGATCACCTCAGGCCACATGCATGGAAGGAAACAATAATCATGCATGGAAGGAAACAATCATGCGGTGCCCCTCTCTCGCTCGGTCAGATATCTTTCATCTCAACGTAAACCGGATCATATGGTATTGTTCATAATTTGGAGGGTATTAAATTTAGACTGGATACATAGTATGCCACCTAGCTTTATTCTTGCAACTTCTACCTCTTTATGTGTTAGTCTTTGTCAATGGTATAATTTATTCGCAAAGCTCAAGCAAGACAATTGGCAAAGATCAAGCAAGATGACTCAATGAGGTTGACCCTTAATTTTAGTGTTTTCAGCATGCAGACCTGAAATTAAAAAGTGGCTGCTCCTTGAAAACATCAGTGGTGCCAAATAAAAGATGTGCATGTTATACATGATGAGACTAGTGAACCTTCTGTAATTTTCTAAACGAATATTCCCACAATTAGTATATAGATCAATTCCCCTGTGTTTCTTCGTGCTCCCATTAGCATATAATATGAAAGTATTGTTATGTTCATCACGACTTCCAGTTGACTACTCCCATTAGCATATACTTCCTCTGCCTTAAAATATAAGTCGTTATGGGATGCGTGCAGGTCAAACTTTCTTAACTTTAACTAGGTTTGTAAAAAATACGTGCAACATTTATATCTCCAAATAAGTTTATTATGAAAATATATTCAATGGTCTATGTAATTATACTAATTATGTATTATAAATATTAATATTATTTTATATATAATTGGTCGAAGTTAAAAAAAAGTTAACTTCTCGGGAAGCGAGAATGAATTCTATTTTGGGACAAAGGAAGTATATGAAAGCAATGTTGAAAATATTTTAACAATCAAGTTTGTCTCTGTCTGATTGGTAAGTTCAGATATCATAATGGCATCAAAAATTTTGACTCTTATGGACACCCTCATGAATCAGTGCAAAGCATCCTAATCCTACAACATACACAAATGGTAACCTTAAAGTTATGATACTTTCAAAGGGTGGACAATAAAGACCATTTTAGACGTTCTGCATTAGAGTATATACGTGCAGGCACATAGGCATGGTGGTGCAAGTGAGCAGCCAGTAAGAGTCGAGAGTTAGGGGATGTTTCGATCCTAAGACTAAACTTTAGTCCCTGTCACATTGAATTTTTAGATATCAATTAGGAGGACTAAACATGAGCTAGTTATAAAACTAATTACATAAGTTGTGGCTAATTCGCTTGTCAGCGCCGTGTACAGGATGGTATGGAGATGTGGTGGAACTTATTCATGGATTTGTTGGCGCACGAAAGAAATAGATATCAGAAATCTCTTCCTGCCGGTATAAAAAATGATCTTAACCGCATCACGGAAAGATCTACACAGTAGAGTTTGTGAGCCTGCGACGCCACACTCTCTGTGACCGTAAATTTCACGAACTTAGGTTTTTGATTAAATGTTACTTTAACGTCGGTCATATACTTTTACGGTATTGTTATCTTATCGTGCGATCCGTGTGTTTTTAGTACAAAAATTTAGCTGTCCCGTAGCAACGCACGGGCACGAACCTATTTGCATATATACTCAGAACCTGTGTGTACATGATTATATGGAGATGTAGCGGAACTTATTCATGGATTTATTGGCGCATAAAAGAAATGGATATCGTAGAATTCTTTTTGTCGATATAAAATATTATCTTAGCCGTATCACGAAAAGTCTATACAGTAGAGTTTGTGAGCCTGCGACGTCGCGCTCTCAGTGACCGTGTTAATTTCACGAACTTTGCTTTTTAAATTAAATGTTACTTTGACGTCGGTATTTAATTTAACAGTATTGTTATCTTATCGTACGATCCGTATGTTTTTAGTACAAAAAATTTAGTTGTTCCGTAGCAACGCACGAACACACTACCTAGTATAAATTATTACAAAACTGTCACTGAGCTATTTTTGCCAAATGTTTTCCAATGCGGCTCTAACTCTAGCAAAGAAATTCCTCTCCTAGAGCTGTAGCCTTTTTAGGAGGCAGAGTCTACCAAACGGGGCCTAATAGTAATCCACCTCTATAATCTAGGGATCAACGGTCTAGATTCTTGTAGTCCATACTCCAAATCATTATAATCATATCCATAATTCAGATTAATACTCCCTCATTCTAAATTATAAAATGTTTTGATTTTTCTAGATACATTATTTTTACTATGTATCTAGACAGTGTATATCTAAGAGCATAGAAAAACTACGTATTTAGAAAAGTCAAAATGTCTTATAATTTGGAACGGATGAAGTATAATCCGATTGGGAATCAAACAAACCCTAATGCAGTTGTTGCAGCAATTGTGAACATTGGGTTTCTAGGCCCTGTTCGCTTGAACTTATCAGCCGTACCGTTTCAGCGAAATAATAATTTTTTTTCTCACAATAAATCAGCATCAATATTAGCCGTTTTTCCGCCAGCCAAACAGGCCCTACTAGTTGTTGGTTGTTGCTATATTTATGTGCTTTACCACAATATCAATAGTTTCTTCGTTAAGGAGTCGATATGTGTTACAGATTTATAGGGACTGATTGGAGTGACTGGTTTGTTGCATTAGCATGTATTCAGACTTGTACAACATAATTTGTTTGTGTTTGGATGCCTCGGAGACTTATCTAGGTTTGTACGGTACTCAAAGCAATACAACATTAGCTAGTACACTAGATTTATTCGTATTATATTAGATAATGTAGATTCGTACAAGCCGATGCAGCATATAAAAACAGAATCTCCTCACCTTCCCACCTTTCCTATAACATGAAATATATGCTAGCGCATGGCGGTGACTACATGCGACATAATATAAGCAACTAAACAAAAATCGTACCAAGGATAAATATTGGGTGCAAACCCCTCATTCAAGTGCAGTCATGAAAATATCATTAAAACACACACTTAGAAGCTTTTATTTTTTTTGAGATGAGGCACATCTATAGATGTACATTGTATCGAAAGTTGAGATACAATTTTTTTTCTAAACATTCATATGAAAATAACACATTTCAGGTGTACATGTACCGGAAGACAAAACCATAGAAATGTTATCCTCTAATTCATAAGCACATAAATTTATTATTTTCATATGATTTTTTTCTAGCTATGTAGGACAATTTTGTCTCCGTAGAACAATTAAACCCAAGACATTACATATATTTATGCTAATTTAGATTGCGTTGCATAAAGTCTAATGCAAACAAATAGTCACATTCGTAGACATTGCAAACCGTCAAAGCATTTTCAAGAGACTCTTTATATCCTTCATAATCTACACGAATAGAGATTTTGGTGAAAAATATTCTCCAACATTCTCTTTAATCGGATCTCTAAATATAGACATTCTCTATTTCGTATTTCTCGCTAGTCAACGATGGGGAATGAGGATAGCTCTAGAGCGCGCATAAGATATAGAAAAGTTATTGGATGATACAAAGATATAGAAAATAATTTTTACTCAAATAACTCCTCAAATTATAATTTAGAGAGCAAATTTTAGAAAATAACTCTTCGAATGATAATTTAGAGAGTATAAATTTTTAAAAGACTATTGGAGATGCTGATGTCTTCCTTTTTTTCTTTCAATCAACCAAAAAAAAAAAAAGAGAGAGCAGATGTTCCTTACTGGGCCGCTCGGCCCATATTCCCTGCTCATTCAGTCGTCCTCTTCCTCCGAACCTTTCCGGTGCCGGTGAACTTCTTCCACCTGAACCGCGTACCACGATAAGCCCTAATCCCAGCGCCACCTCCATGGCGACCACCTCTTTCTTCCATCCGCTCGCCGCCCCGATGGCCAGCGGCGGCGTTCGCCTCCGTCTCTGCCCGTTCAGCCTAGACACCCCCGCCCGTACAGCGCCCCGACGACCGGCGTCGCTTCTCGTCGTCCGCGCCAAGCGCGCCGGCAGCCGGGCCCCTGCTGCCGCTGCCTCGCATCAGCCCGCGAATCCCAGCGCGGTCCCGAAGAGGGACGTGGAGGAAGAGGTGGAGGAGGTCGAGGAGGAGATGCCGTGGATCCAGGACAAGGCGCTGGACCTCGTGGAGTTCACCGGCACCGTCACACAGGCCATCCCGGGGCCCCGCGTCGGCTCTAGCCCTGTTCCGTGGCTTCTCGCGGTTCCGCTCGCCTACGTCGGGGTCTCCTTTGTGCTCGCGGTCGTCCGCACCGTGCGCAGGTTCACCTCCCCGCGCACTAAGAAGAAGCGAAGGGTAAGTGTTGGCATCATGAAAAATTTGCTGTGGTTCCATGAGCGGAATCTCATCGCGTATTCGCGTTCTGCGGTATTTGAATACATTGTAATTTTCCGTCGTAACTGTATTAGCCCTGCGAATTCCTAGATATATTTTGGAACATAGGTTTGCAGGGTCTAACTCCACTGGATTTGCTGTTTAGAGGGGTTTGCTTTGTCAGGGTGATGGGAAATGATAAATTACACCCCTTCCTTCAGTAGCTAATTTGTGTTTGCAAACTTATCTATCTGTGTATACTGCATTACTGTATAGCATCTTGGAATCATGCTAAATAAACCATTTTACAGCCTTTCTTAAATTAAACTAAAATAGCCTGCAATTTCAGTTTTACAACATTTTATAAATTTACTCCTCTATAGATCATAAACTAGATACCTTTTTAAACATGTAGAGGTGCTAAAGCAAATTTGAGCTTGCTTTTTTTGTTGATTGCAAGCCTGATGTTTTTCGAAAATGGATTGCCAGCTTGATGTTATCCTAAGTTTGCCATTTTTTTCCTTTGCATGCCGTTTTTTCGCAAACGGATTGCAATCTAGAACTTTTTGGTGCCTAGGTTTTGTTGGCACTTAATAGTGAAGAAGTATTCCTCTGCAGGTGGGTAAGAATATATTCTTGTTGAAGTCTCTAGATGATCTGTTTCAGAAGGGCAGGGAAGCAATAGATTATCCTGCTCTTCAGGACCTAATGCAAAAGGTGTGTTGCCTGCCTATTCATCCATTAATTTTATATTTTTATTTTTGATTTGAGAAACTGATTTAGGGAAATGATATTGAACTAATGGTAGGTTTGCTTATTTACTCTATTGTTGGTTCTGCTCAAATCAAAATTTTACTAGCTATCAGTAGAGTTAGTGAGTTGATGATATTGTTAACTGGTGCCGAAACCTATTAAAAATTGTGCTGCATAGGCCAGAACAATAATGTTCCTTGCAAACTGGTATTTCATTACACTGACATGTCTATATGTATTGCTAGGGACAAATAATTTAATGATTGTCTTGCTACTGGAAATTCTTTCCATTGCAAATAACAGATTCATAAATACTTTATGTGTGCTCAGACAGGATTTGACATGGATGATGTAGTAAGGAAGTACATCCGTTACACACTGAATGAAAAACAGTTCAATCCTGATGTGGTCGTGGATCTCATACATCTTAGGAAGGCATCAATGCTGGAAGATGCGGAAGTTGCTGAAATTTTAAATGAGATTTCAAGACGAATTGTCCGGGAAAAAGGTATAAGTATAACTAGTGCTGCTTATTCAAATACTAGAGTGAGCACAAGATGTTTTCAGGATCTCAGGCTCTGGCTGCTTACTTTTGCAAATCAACTATTTCTTTTTCTTGCTCCCCTTCAGCTGAAGTTTGTGGGCCTTTATGTTGAACCTTCTTGGTGAAACTTAGTAATGCCAACCATTTTTCATCTTCCATTCCATTTAATCAACAAAATTTTAGATTGGACCCTCATTTTGTTTTTAGACTATGTGCTTAGCTGTTCTCCATATTATTATCAACTAACATTCTTTATTATTCATTGATGGAAAATTGATAACATTGTTATGTTCTGTCATTATCGGATGCAATGTTCTGATTACAAGTCCTGCAAAGTGTATCCAAAGAATCAATCGAAAGTGCATGGTTGTTGGGGGTGACCATAAGACACCTCTGATGCATGTTATTTCTACAACTTTGTAATTATTTCCTATCCTCTGCCAACCGGTCCCCTTCAAACCCACTCTCTGTTATGGGATGTACCATACACTAATTGTGATGTGAGACGAGTGGTGGCCTCTAAATTGTAGTTTTATTTTTTTCCTATTTTACTGGCCTATTGTACTGGATCTGTAATGTCACACTTACCCCAAATATTTTTGTATTTAAAATATTGCAGGGCCAGTAGTTATGGACTTATCTGGTTTTACAGAACAAGGTTTTAAGCGGAAGCTTGCTGTACAAGCACTGTTTGGAAAAATCCTATACTTATCAGAAGTAAGCTGTTGATCATTTTATCACTGATTTTGTGATTCCAGATCTGTTGACCTTAAGCCCAGATCTAGATCCTGTACTTTGAAATGAACTGCTTGGGCTGTAACCAAAACCGGAAAAGGTTTGATGTTTCACTTCTTTCTGGAGGTCATTCATGAGTGCTTGGTTTGATGAACCATCTTATTCTGATTGGGTTAGGTCGTCTTATTCTATGGTTTGTTACTGATTAACCTGCATAAAAGTTACCATGATGAATCAGATCTTAACAGAAAATGTTTGTGAATCTCTATCCAGCTTCCAGAGTTCTGTTCACGGGACAGCTCACTTGTAGTCAAAGAAATCTTTGGAGTTACAGAGTATGTCTATATTTTACTATATATGGGGAATCCTTGTTTTTTTGTACCTCAACAGTTCTTTTGTCCTGTCCATTTTATTGTGAAGATTTTTGCCCCTTGTTGGTAATTATCATTGTTTTCTGTTTTCTTGTGAGCAGTGAGGATGCAGACAGCCTGCGGATTCACACCCTCTCAGCAACAGGTGATATCGAATCTATACAAAAGATGGTCGACGATCTAGACATAGAACAATAGGGGCGGTTCCAGTAAAGGGACATGGGTGTACACATGTACACCCAATAATTTTCACTCCTGCCCTTCAGATGCCTCAAAAAGAGTGGGATTTTAGGCAACGGTCAGTCACGTTCCACGTGCGGTAGCGGAGACGCGGATCGGCCTCTGCATGGAGTATGGATTATCTGTTGCAAAATTTGTGATTTGTTAATTGTTTTTTATCATAACATATTATTTTTTTGTCGCTATCTGACTATAAAAATAATTGTTAATTGTATCTGTGCCAACACAAATCAAATTTTGTAGGCTTGTGATTTTGTCTAAAAGGTTTTTTATTCTCAGATCCGAAAATTACAGATTATATGTACAGAAATTACGATGAACTAAACCTGCAATTTTAACAAAATATATGCAATAGCCGTCATCTAGCAAGTCCCATATTTTTTGCAAAAAACTTCGAAGGTAGGAGGCTTGTCAAATAGCTAAATAGCTTTAGGTTAAGGTTTCGGTGCTTAGCTTCGCACAGCATAAGGGATGGAAGAGAAGGGGTCGAAGTACCTGGTTGGTGCTGGTCGCCGGCGAAGGGACCAACGAAAGCCTCGGCACCTTAGCTTAGGGTTGCGGTGGCCCACCAGTGGTCTGAGAGCGAGAGGGAAGCGAGGGAGACAGGCAGAACGAGGAGGAAAGAGGGATGCAACGGTCAGAATGGGAATACAGGTTAATAGGTTATGCATCGACGAAAAAAAAAACTGCACGAGCTTCTTGTGGGACGCGTTTTTCATCGTTTCTTTGAAAATTTCTCTTTTTTTATTTTTCTTTCTCTCCCTTTTATTTTTTTTTTATTTTTGTTGATTTCGTATCTATTCTCTTAGGCCTTGTTTGGATGCATGTGTATTCACTCCAATCCACATATGTTGGAGTGAAATGGAATGGAACTTAGTTTAATTCCACTCCAATCCACTTCAACACATATGAATTGAGATGAATACATAGCATCCAAACAATGCCTTAATTGGACATTATCAATGGCGAGTACAACATTTGTTTCAAATAACAAAAATAACAATGATATTTATGAGTATATAGTACATTGTAAATAAGTAAATGGAAATTTTTATATTTTAATAAGGTTGAATATTTTTCTATTGAAGCTAGAAGCCATTTTCACAAGAACATATACCAATTTCACAAACCAATAAGCTATGACCACATTTTTTCTAAAATAAAAACAATTTTCTCTTTGTGACAATCTCTCTAGCGAACATTAAATATTTTTGTGCTAAACATGGGACAATAGCTCCCGTGAACGAAGAACATTGCTATTCCTCAGTAAAAAAATGGTATGGACTCGTTAAGAATTTATTTTCCATGCTCCAGCAAGAACTAATAAAGAACAATATCTCGTGAAAAAAATAAGTCTTCCTAGCACTCTCTTTTCATTCTACAATTTACTTTCTAAAGATTTTTATGTTGTAACAGGGTTAAAGACTAGGTTGCAAAATACTTTTGTATGTTAGAATAGTCACACTTCATCAACTTTAAACAGATTCGGCTAAGCGAGTGTTTGTCATCCTCAAGTAGCAAAGAAAGTAGAGACACATAGTGGCCTTAAGTCCATAGAAAAACTCCAATCGAAAAACAAAGGTACACAAGTACAAGTTAAAAGTACAGACATCGTTATGAGGCAAGAGCAAAAGAAGGCTTGATATGACAGTATAGAAATAGATATAGTCTAACCATAAAAACAATCATGCATTTAGAAAAGTATATTATACAAAAACAATAATGCATAATTAATAAGCTAAGAATGTTGCCACTCTTACATGACACTAGTTGTCCTTTATGGAACAAATGTTTTTTTCTACAGGTAGAACATTTTTTTACTTGCCCCTTTGTAGTAGAATATTTTTTGGGGGGTTAGAAACAACTAAATATTCTAGAGTAGAAAAAACAATGTTTTCTTAAGATGAAAGAAATATTCTCATAGTAGAAAAAATGAAATTTCAAGATAAATGGTGAGTACGCATAAGACATAATTATCGTACTTTAGACAATAGAATAACCTATATCTAGACTTTTTTCATGAGAAATATCTAGTAAATAGATAAAGATTCTATATGGAATACTCTAGATCTAGATATTTTGTATAATGAGAAATATCCAGGAAATAAATAAACATGAGAGGCATTCTAAAATGTAGAAAAGTGTAGAAGTTTGCCACCATAAAGCCATACATACATACATACATACATACACACACACACACACACACACACACACACACACACACACACACATATACATATATATATATATATATATATATATATATATATATATAGAGAGAGAGAGAGAGAGAGAGAGAGAGAGAGAGAGAGAGAGAGATTTGAGTGTTGATTCCATATGTACCAAATCACCAAGTGAGTTATCAAAAGTTATGAAAGTATCCATCACATATTTAGTGTGAAAATACTTCGTAGCTATTTTAGAGTTTATAAGTGTGAATGAGTCTTATTTAGTAGATGTTAACAGTTTGTTTATAATGAGTTAGACATGATTATGAATAAAATAAAATGGAACAATATTTTTGCACACCCAATTTCATAATACTGCGTTTGCCACTGTAGAATAAGGTCCCTCATCATCGTCTTGAGTTATGGTGATGGAACAATGCTAAACATCTTCATTGATAGTGTTGCAATTTTAGCTTCATGTGAGTTCTCCAACCTTTTCATTTAGTTTTTCAATTGTTGAAGTAGAAGTTGAACCTATGAGCACATGATACTTCGGCTGGAGCATGTAGGTTTTGTAAATTGCCTCTCGATTTAGGCGGTAACGTCTGGCAGTGTCAGACCTACCCATGACTTGAGTAGATGAGAATATTATTATAGTAGAAAAGCACACGGCAATAGTGAGTTTATAGAACGCGGGAATAATATTTATATCTACTTTGTTTTCTCATGATTCATTTTTTTCAACAAGGGGATTCCCCATTTCCATTATGAAGATAACGGAGATACAAGTGTTTAGACTATTTGCAGACAGGACCAAAAAACACCAGAGCAAAGCTTAACCAACCTTACCAAACTTCCTACCACCTTTTGACCATGCTAAGAGATAACAGAAGCAAACCCCAGCAAAAGTATTACCCATATGCAGTCTATCCCATAACATTTCCAGACTTGATGACAGAGCACTAGCCATTATTACAGAACTTCCACAAAAAGAGCTGGACTCCCACTGGGAGCAGCAGTTAACAGTAGCAAAGATCAGCTCTATCCCATTAGTGTTGCTGCTCGTCATCTTCCTCATTCTAGAGCATCAATTTGGTTGTTGTTCTTGCCCCGATAGCGATCTTCTTGCCCGAAAGCCTTCTTGTCTTCAGCGATCGTTAAGCATGTTCATGCCTTCTTGTCTTCACCTTCACCTTGATAACTCATCCTCAGGTGCCTTCTGTCTTCACCTTCACACAACATAACGATACAAACGATAGAAGCAGGTGTTTGATGGCTTTGCCTTCAAAACACACTTGATTACGAGTTTTCCAAATAGCCCAGTAAATGGCTGCTATTCCTAGCACATGAAACTTCTCACCCGCAGGAAGCCACTTCTTAGCCCGCAGCCAACAATGATCAAAGTTTGTAAGAATGTTGTTAGCTCCAAGGCAATGAGCAGTAATTGCCCATACTGCCTTTGCAATACTACACTAGAACAATAAGTGTGAGATAGTTTCATCGCATGTGCAGAAGTAGCATGTGGGTTCACCTGGCCATTTCCTCTTAATCATATTATCTTTGGTTAAGATTGTGTTATTCAAGATTAGCCAAAGAAAGACTTTGATCTTAGCTGGTATTTTACTCTTCCAAATTTTCTTATGATAAGTACCACACATTATCTAAAAGAGCATCATATATGAAAGTGCAATCAAGCCTTAATTGTGGGTTTTTGTAACAATGACCTCGCAATTAGAGAACTAATGAGATTTATCGAGATGATAAGCAGGGAATTTATATTCGAGGATGCTACATGAAACTGAGGAGCCCTCAACTACAAATATAGATGGCTTCAAACTCAAAGGAGATTTAAATTCTTTTATATATTGAATTTGAGTATAGGAAAAGCCGTACTATAATGGGGGGCACAATGCTTAAGCTAATCTGTGCTACCAAGTGCTCAAACAACCACATGCATCCTCAAATTCACAGCCAAGACAGTCTACACTTCACTTTTACCCTTACTGTCTTGCGTGGTGCGAGCTCTAACTCGCCCAACCCCTTGGGTGCGAGCTCCGACTCGCCCGACCCCTTGGGTGCGAGCTTCGACTCGCCCGATCCCTTGGGACCCCTTGGGCGTGGGCTCCAGATCGCCCGACCCTTTGGTCGCGAGCTCCGGTTCGCCTGATCATTTGGTTGCGGGCTCCGTCTCGCCCGACCCTAAGGTCGCGGGCTCCGTCTCGCCCAACCCTAAGGTCGCGGGCTCCGGATTCGCCTGACCCTTTGGTCGCGGGCTCCGTCTCGTCCGACCCCAAGGTCGCGGGCTCCGTATCGATCGACCCTAAGGTCGCGGGCTCTCGGCTCGCCTAACCCTTTGGTCGTGGGCTCCGTCTCGTCCAACCATTTGGTCGCAGGCTCCGTCTCGCCCGACCCTTTGGTCGCGGGCTCTGGCTCGCCTGACTCTTTGGTGGTGGTCTCGTCTCGCCCGACCTCAAGGTTGTGGACCTCGTCTCGCCCGACCTCTTGGGTGCAATGTCCGTTGGAGGCTG